TTATTTGATAGTGAATAATAATTGGCTGAAATCGTTTGATAGTTAATTATTATTGGCTAATATCGTTTGATAGTGATTGATAGTTGATTATTATAGTTTGATAGTGATAGATAGTTAATTATTATCGTTTGATAGTGATTTATAATTAAATAAAATAGTTTGATAGTGAATAATAATTGGCTGAAATCGTTTGATAGTTAATTATTATTGGCTAATATCGTTTGATAGTGATTGATAGTTGATTATTATAGTTTGATAGTGATTTATAATTGACTAAAATCGTTTGATAGTGAATAATAATTGGCTGAAATCGTTTGATAGTGATTGATAGTTAATTATTATCGTTTGACAGTGATTTATAATTGACTAAAATCATTTGATAGTGAATAATAATTGGCTGAAATCGTTTGATAGTTAATTATTATTGGCTAATATCGTTTGATAGTGATTGATAGTTAATTATTATCGTTTGATAGTGATTGATAGTTAATTATTATCTTTGATAGTGATTTATAATTTATAATCATTTGATAGTGAATAATAATTGGCTGAAATCGTTTGATTGTTAATTATTATGGGCTAATATCGTTTGATATAGTGATTTATAGTTAATTATTGTCGTTTGATAGTGATTTATAATTGACTAAAATCGTTTGATAGTGAATAATAATTGGCTGAAATCGTTTGATAGTTAATTATTATTGGCTAATATCGTTAGATAGTGATTTATAGTTGATTATTATAGTTTGATAGAGATTGATAGTTAATTATTATCGTTTGATAGTGATTTATAATTAAATAAAATAGTTTGATAGTGAATAATAATTGGCTGAAAGCGTTTGATAGTTAATTATTATTGGCTAATATCGTTTGATAGTGATTTATAATTAAATAAAATAGTTTGATAGTGAATAATAATTGGCTAAAATCGTTTGATAGTTAATTATTATTGGCTAATATCGTTTGATAGTGATTGATAGTTAATTATTATCGTTTGATAGTGATTGATAGTTAATTATTATCTTTGATAGTGATTTATAATTTATAATCATTTGATAGTGAATAATAATTGGCTGAAATCGTTTGATAGTTAATTATTATTGGCTAATATCGTTTGATAGTGATTGATAGTTAATTATTATCGTTTGATAGTGATTAATAATTGACTAAAATCATTTGATAGTGAATAATAATTGGCTGAAATCGTTTGATAGTTAATTATTATTGGCTAATATCGTTTGATAGTGATTGATAGTTAATTATTATCGTTTGATAGTGATTGATAGTTAATTATTATCTTTGATAGTGATTTATAATTTATAATCATTTGATAGTGAATAATAATTGGCTGAAATCGTTTGATAGTTAATTATTATTGGCTAATATCGTTTGATAGTGATTGTTAGTTAATTATTATCGTTTGATAGTGATTAATAATTGACTAAACTCATTTGATAGTGAATAATAATTGGCTGAAATCGTTTGATAGTTAATTATTATTGGCTAATATCGTTTGATAGTGATTGATAGTTAATTATTATCGTTTGATAGTGATTGATAGTTAATTATTATCTTTGATAGTGATTTATAATTTATAATCATTTGATAGTGAATAATAATTGGCTGAAATCGTTTGATAGTTAATTATTATTGGCTAATATCGTTTGATAGTGATTGATAGTTAATTATTATCGTTTGATAGTGATTAATAATTGACTAAAATCATTTGATAGTGAATAATAATTGGCTGAAATCGTTTGATAGTTAATTATTATTGGCTAATATCGTTTGATAGTGATTGATAGTTAATTATTATCGTTTGATAGTGATTGATAGTTAATTATTATCTTTGATAGTGATTTATAATTTATAATCATTTGATAGTGAATAATAATTGGCTGAAATCGTTTGATAGTTAATTATTATTGGCTAATATCGTTTGATAGTGATTGATAGTTAATTATTATCGTTTGATAGTGATTAATAATTGACTAAAATCATTTGATAGTGAATAATAATTGGCTGAAATCGTTTGATAGTTAATTATTATTGGCTAATATCGTTTGATAGTGATTGATAGTTAATTATTATCGTTTGATAGTGATTGATAGTTAATTATTATCTTTGATAGTGATTTATAATTTATAATCATTTGATAGTGAATAATAATTGGCTGAAATCGTTTGATTGTTAATTATTATGGGCTAATATCGTTTGATATGCTGATTTATAGTTAATTATTGTCGTTTGATAGTGATTTATAATTGACTAAAATCGTTTGATAGTGAATAATAATTGGCTGAAATCGTTTGATAGTTAATTATTATTGGCTAATATCGTTAGATAGTGATTTATAGTTGATTATTATAGTTTGATAGAGATTGATAGTTAATTATTATCGTTTGATAGTGATTTATAATTAAATAAAATAGTTTGATAGTGAATAATAATTGGCTGAAAGCGTTTGATAGTTAATTATTATTGGCTAATATCGTTTGATATTGATTTATAATTAAATAAAATAGTTTGATAGTGAATAATAATTGGCTAAAATCGTTTGATAGTTAATTATTATTGGCTAATATCGTTTGATAGTGATTGATAGTTAATTATTATAGTTTGATAGTGATTGATAGTTAATTATTATCGTTTGATAGTGATTTATAATGGACTAAAATCATTTGATAGTGAATAATAATTGGCTGAAATCGTTTGATAGTTAATTATTATTGGCTATTATCTTTTGATATTGATTTATAGTTGGCATAAATCGTTTGATAGTGTATGATAGTTTATCAATATCATTTGATGCTGATTGAAAGTTGATTAATATCGTTTGATAGTGATTTATAGTTATCTAAAATGGTTTAATAGTGATTGATAGTTGATTATTATCGTTTGATAGTGATTTACAATTGACTAAAATCGTTTGATAGTGATTGATAGTTGATTATTATCGATTGATAATGATTTATAATTGATTATTATAGTTTGATAGTGATTTACAATTTACTTAAATCGTTTGATAGTGATTAATAATTAATTATGTATTATCGTTTGAATGTGATATGCAATGGACTAGAATCGTTTGATAATGATTGGTAGTTGATTTTTAACGCTTGATAGTGATGTATAATTCACTAGAATAGTTTGATAGTCTTTGATAGTTAAAATTCAAGGTTTGATAGAAATAATTAGTAAAAATATTTCACACACAAAAATTGTGTGTCATTTTCACAAAGCACCCTATTTTCAATAAATTATTGATTTTCCTTTTACATTCGTTTGTTAGTCGTTTGATAGCAATTGATAGTATATTATAAACGTTTAGTAGTCCAAATTAAATTAGATATTAAAGTTATAAAAAAAATCTGTCCGATCACTGCAACCCGACTCTGCGCATGCGCACAAAATAAGTGGCGGACGATTCAAATATCTTCAAATAACATTTATTTATTAGGGTCACTTCAACAACAGCAATAAATACTATACATTATCAAAAAAATTTTAACAAAGAAAAATCGGTAAAAAATAATTATTTTCATTTAAAGTGAGGAGTAAAAACTCAGAGGCCAGACTTTGGTGCAAGTTGAAATATTTTATCAATCATTCGAATATTATATTGTATAGTGGAAGATTTTTTTAGCAAATACCGAATTTATATCGATTAATTTAAAAAATCTATAATTCATTACAATTTGGGTGCTAACTTCATGCCACACCCCAATTTAATTGTTAATTAATTTTTTTATTTATACCGTTTGTTAGTCGTGTGTTAGTTAAGGTTTAGCGTTTGATAGTGAAAATTAAGTAATTAACAATTATTTTCAGTTGAGCACAGGAATATGTTATCGAATGCCAGACTTTGGTGCAAGTTGAAATATTTTATGCATCATTCTGATATAATTTTATCTCAAGAAAGATTTTTATTAGCAAATACCAGTGCTAAAATCAACGTGACGCAATCGGAACGCATAGTTTTAGATCCAATTGGAGAAAGGCCTTTTTTATACATTTTCTACGTTAGAAAAGGACAGTGATACACCCTAATGCATATAATTATGTATACTGTTCTTCCGGTCTTCTGACATTTTGAATAGTCGTTTACATTTCTATAAAAATATTGTTAGTTCATGACGAATAAGTTAGTTCATACGTCACGAAATAACAATATTTGTATAAGAATGTTATGAATTTTCAAAACGTCGGCAAACTGGAAAGACAGCAAATATGCATTAGGGTGTATGTATGTGTCCTTTTCTATCACATGCACCTCATTCGCGAAGCTATTATGCGTTGGCCTTTAAATCGCGAATGGTGATTTTGGCGAGTGGGACAATGGAAACATACCGTCTCTGGGGTGCTACCTTTCATCTCAAATTGAAAGTAAGGGTACGGTCACACTATCTCATACATGCACTGTGTATGCATGAGATAGTGTGACCGTACCCTAAAGAATGTGTATTAAATCGAATTCACAATCTTCAAATGACTAGTTTCACAACTCTCTATTTATACGAATTGTAAATTGAACGAAAAATTATTTTTCGAAAAAACATTTGATCTAAAGGCCAACGCAGAATAGAAACGTAACCGGAATCGCAATCGTAATCGTAAACGGAAGAATGAGTTAGAGAAGGATACACAATATACCTATCCTTCTCTAACTCATTCTTCCGTTTACGTTTGCGATTGCGTTTACGATTACGACGCTATTCTGCTCAGGCCTTAACTTGAAATTGTGCTAATTATGGAGCATTTACACCTAGGGTAAAAATTGTCCAGAATGGAAAATCTATATTGGAGTAAGAGAGACAGACTGTGTATCTGTCTCTCTTACTCCAATGTAGATTTTCCTTTCTGGACAATTTTTACCGAAGGTGTAAATGCTCCATTATATTTTAATCAAATTCCTATTTATTATAATGTGAAATTACCATAATTTCTATATGTCGGAATCACCACTTGACCTAATTTTCAGCTGATCCAATTATCAAATGCTATAATGTAGAAGTAACTGAAATGCCAATTCATAGTTCATAGAATGATAATTTTTATTAAATACAATACTTCATAATTTTTATTATCCGATTAATAACATAATTTAAACAGCATATTTCATATTTTTATTTATCATAAACTAAATACGTTGTAATTATTATTTAGCAGAATTTCATTTATTTCGTTTCACATCTTAACCTAAAGTGAAAATTCAAGAACTTTAATTTAACGTCTACGTTTATGCTAATGTCACAAAAAATTCTATTCTGGAAACTCCTTAACGAAAATGAATAGCTTCGGGAAAGACATTCGCGAACGTGCAACATGAGTTAGAAAAGGACAGAGATATATTCGTATCCTTTTCTATCTCATGCATTTCGTTCGTGAACGACTTTCGCAAATCTATTGTGCATTAACCTTAAAAGCGGAAACGCTATCGAGAGAATGAGTAAGAGAAGGATGGACACATATATCTGTTTTTTTCAGCTCATTCACTTTCAAGAGTCTATTTTGCGTTGGCCTTATGGAGCATTTACACCTTCGGTAAAAATTGTCCAGAACGAAAAATGTACATTAGAGTAAAAGAGACAGATTCACAGCCTGTCTTTCTTACTCTAATATAGATTTTCCATTCTGGACAATTTTTACCGTAGGTGTAAATGCTCCATTATGGCGATGAACTGTGACTGTACCCTTATATTCCGGAGAGTATATTTTTCTCTTGCATGTGGTATAAACCGTTGTTTGCAGTCATTGAATTATTATTTTATCCCACTGGAATGTCTTTTATTAAATAAAAATACATTAATATAAATATATTACGTGGCAGCGTATGTGAATTTGGGAGTTTATAAAGCTACTTATTTGTAGTTTTAAACAATTACAAATTATATTGACTCTTAATGTGCAGCATTTATAGTGATGATTCATAGATTCAAAAAAATTGTATAATATGTGACACTATGTGAATGTGCAAGTTTATAAAGCTACTTAATTGTAGTTTTATACAATTATAATTTTTATTGACTCTTATTGAGCAGAATTTGTATAGTGATTCAACGATTTTAAAGAGAATATTTAATATTTTATATATATTAAATAAACTCTTGTATAAAGTTATATAGTGTTCTGCACTGAATAAATTTCGGATAACTTTCATAAAGTGATGATTTATAAAGGTAAATGTGGGCAATACATATGTGCCTTTTTTCTGGATTTGTCATATACTGAGAAAAATTTTCCGTCGCTTCAAAAGCGTTTAGTATCAAAAGTATAAAAATCACTCAATGTGACTGTTGTGATTTCACATTTAAACATTCTTAGCAGGTTTTCTCGCAAAATACTTGATAAATTAAGTTAAAATTTTGTAGAGAATTCGAAAATAGTGTAAGTACTCGACGTCATTAAATTGTCTTTAAATGTGCAATTATTCAAAATTAAATTTCCATTAGCACCCAACAGCGTTTTCTTATATCTTCTTTAGCTCACTCTATCCAGTATTTTGCGAGAAAACCTGCAAAGAATATTTCCATGTAGAATCACAGCAATCACACGACCTAAAAGCTTTTGCTTTTACATAAATTATTTTCCTACTTTTAGCAGAAATGTTAAAGATTCAATAAAATATATTTTTCTTAGTGTATAAAAGTACGACTCTGATTAAGTGTGAAGTTCCATGACGATAGAATGTAAAAGTTGCAAAAGAGATTTATATTACTATCATGATGTCGCTTCACTCATATTTATAACTTGCTGCACTTAACATCGTCATGGTACTTCACTTTTTATATTTCACTACAATTTTCACATGTATGTTTTCTATTCTTAGATGCCACCTTCAGCTTTAGTTGACATCAGTAGCGCTGTAAATGCTGTGTGCTTATTTGCAGAAAATTTATCTGATGGCAGCATACCTGTATATTCTGATCAATTTTATGCAAACATTAGCAAAGCATTAAATGGAAAATGGACTGCACACAACGTCTACATAAATTTTAAAAATAATAGAAGAGAACTTCGAACAAAAGTATTTCAAAAATTAGGAATAAAAGAAAAAGTAACCGACGATGTAGCAAATGTTGAAAAAGAAATAACAAACAGTGATGATTCATCGACTGAAAATGAAACTTCTGATGGTGAAGGTTCAAAATATGAAATTCCAATTATTTCTAATTTTTCTAAAGGAAATATTTTCGATTTAAAAATTGAAAGTGAATCATGGGAAAAAATAAAACCTGTTATTCGTGAATACGGTAACAGAGAATATATAACATTAAAACCTGGCGAATGGACCGACGTTATTGCTGATACGTTTTTAATGCAATACAGATTACCTTGCGCTTTTTCTTTCAAGTTTTGCAAAGTATCAAATAAAATTGATCGTCCTTTTTTATACATTTACGCAAAGTGTAAGAGTAGTAAGTGTGGAAATGAATTAAAAGCATTGTGCAACGAAGAACCAATTGCTGGTGCGGACGTGTGGTTACAGGTAAAATGTACTGATACCAGATTACATAATCATGAAGTTGTTCAAAGACAACTTCGCAACAAGAAACGTCGGGATGTAGGAGAAAAAGTTTTGAGAGAAGGAGCAGCAAATTGTAGAAGAAATATGGCAAGAGGAACGGTTGAATTAGGAGATTTAAATGCTCCTACTTTGCCCACAAATGACGTTTTGAGAAAACTTCTACAAGAATGTAGGGATAAAGAACTTGGAATCAATGTTAAAGATGGGAATAACCCAGTGGAGATTTTAACAAAATTAAAATATAGTCCTCCTTATGCTGGTTCCATTAACTTTGTGGGTGCTGATCCTTTCCAGTTACAATACTTGTTGCCGGAGCAAATATTTTTAACGAAAGAGTACTTTCGTTTTACGAAAAACGAGTCTTTTGTTTGCTTAGATAGCACATCAAGTTTAGTGACTCCAGTAACTTCCGTAAAAGATGTAAAAGCGCCGGCTATTTTTCTATTTGAAATAGTTATCAATTTTAACAAAACTACTGTTTCCGTAGGACAAATGTTGTCTGCAGCTTTGGATACTAACACAATTTTATTTTGGCTTAATTCTTGGTTAATAAAAGTTGGCATTGTACCGAAACAGGCTGTCTGCGATTATTCGTACGCATTGTTAGGAGCCATGTGTCTGTCTTTTAATCGTCTGAGTATAAATGATTATTGCAGAACATGCTTCTTAGCATTAACTGAATCTAAAACTAAGATTCGTCCTGCAACTACATTTATAAGAGTAGATGTAGCACATCTTATTGCCATATTTTGTAGACTTAAATGTTTCAATGTTAACAACGTAGCAGTTAAAGATTTTTTTTTACGCTGCATTGCTTTAATGATATCGTGTACAACTTTTGAAACATTCGAAAAAATTTTACTTTTGACTCTGATCGTATCATCACACAAATACGACGGCGAAATAGTAGATTCATTACAACCTTCTGCGGCTGAATCAGCTAGACTAGAGTTATTAGATTACATGGCAAAGGAAAAGCATAACGCGATGCAATTAATACCTGACGAGCATAGTATTCAATTCAAAAATATCTCCAAAAAAATGGAATCAAGTGGGCTAAATATAAATTTTGAAGACTCCTTAAACGAAGAAGTTGTTGATGATATCAACATTTTACAATGGATAAACCGATTAAAACTTGAAGCCGAAAAAGATAAAAATACTGTACACTCGAGAGTAAATGCATATTATATGCCACAATTTTTTGAGCACTTACTTCTAAAATCTAAAGAATTTGTATTGTGGACTGGTGTGATGATTACTTATTTTCAAACGCAATGTATAAGAGCAACGAGTTGTTATGTAGAAGGAAATTTCGGAGAGTTAAAAAACAATATAATTGAAGGTATTCTTGCAAGATTCCGAGCTGACAAATTCTACAGAATCCATTTTAAAGCACTAAAAGGTCAAACCTTAATAGCGACAACTGCCATTACTAAAGCCTTTGTTTCCCAAATGGAGGAATCTCAGCAAACATCTATAATTGTTGAAGAAAAATCAGATATTAATGTTAATAATCTGGAAAGCGAAGTAGACTCTGAAATTTTTGCTAACGAAAGTCAAATACCTGCTCACAGTACTGCATTAGAAATTAAAGTAAACAGCTCAAAAGGATTCGATACTCCAACAAATGACCTTCTTTTCTCTGAAAACTGGAGAAATCAGGGAGAAGATGTTTCAAAGGAAGAAATAAAAGAAAATGTTTATTTCCAGCAACCAGAAAGAAAAATTCAAGTTTTACATGGTAGACAAGATGTAGCTCCTTTGATAAAAGAAAATATGACTTCGATACAACTTTTAGAAAATGGAAACAATTTTACAAAACCCATAAACATTAATAATCAGAAATACATCATTACAAACACGTGTCCTTTTGATGCAACCGTTCAAATCTTAGCAGTGGGTGCCAAAGATTTACCAGAGTATTTTCACCACATTCAGAAGTCAAAAAATTCAACATGCAAGTTTATTTTAGAATTTATCAAAAGTGGCACAGAAAATTCTATTTACGTTCAACGATGTGCAATTTTAAAGAACTTTATTGATCCTACAAGATCATCAACTAAAATAATGAAACTTGACGCAAAATCGCTAAATAATGAACATGAAGTAAGTTGTTTTTCTAATGTATTAGATATGTGGACTTTTCTTATGCAAAATGAACCAAGTGTTTTTCGAATTTCAAAATGTTCATGTAATCACAAGAAAATCGATGAGATTCCTTATTTACGGATTAACCATAAAAATATATTGAAAAACAGTTTTAAAGCACTTCCACAGAGTTTAATATTTGAAGACACTAACATTCAAAAATGTTCAAATAAAAACTGCAGCCTTTTGCATTCAGTAGAGTTGCAATACAATGCTCACATCATAATTGAGGCCGATGTCAGAGAAGCTATTGATTTAACGAAATCACTTACTTGTAGAGTTGACGATATTTCAGTTTACCTAACATTGGAAGGCAACAGTTACAGGTATGATAATTATAAATTTTGTTCTTTTATGATTATAGTTTGTTATACTTTGGTATATGTTACTAGATTTTTTTGTATATTCAAAAAGTTATTATTCAATCAACTAAAATGAAAATTGTTATTAATTTTTACAATATCTTGTTCAGATAATATTATTTACAATGCGCAAATTTTACTATATATAAAAAATTTTTACAGGTTAACTGGCATTATAATTTACCAACCAAACCATTACGTAGCTTTGTGTAGGAGACTTGATGGTAGGTGGGAAAAACATAATGACTCGGAAACAGAGATCCAACCCTTTACGAAAAAGGATTACCAAGAGCAATACACTCCATCAGCTTTCGTGTATATTAGAGAAGAAAGAATAACAGAAGATTATGAAAAATCAACTCCACTGGAAAATATTCTTTCAACACAAGTACATATAAATGAATCAGAAAAAGATACTTCAATTGCTGCAGATCAAAGTACTGTTAATTTTGATCATCCGTACTCAATTTTAAAAGAGAATGAAAATTGGCGAAACAAATTTGAAAAGGAAAATAGTTTAATAAATAAAACTATTTGCATTTCTTCACCAGATGATGATAAACAAACAGTCAAAAAACGCAAAAGAAACAATGAAATAAAACAGAGAAAACCATCTAAATACTTTAAAGAATGTCCAGATATACATATTCGACAAGCTGACATAGCTTTAAATAATAAACAAAAAACATCGATTAAAAACATTGATAAAAAATTTTTACAAAATGGAAGCAAATTTCCCAAGCCACTGGAAATCAAAAACCAAAAATACATCATCACTAATACTTCTACCTTTGATACGATTGTTCAAATATTAACAATAGGTTCAGCAGAGTCGCCAATATACTTTCAACATATGGAAATCTCTGAAAATTTGACTTGTAAATTCATTTTGTCATTTCTTAACTCTGAAAAAGTGAATGACATTATATACATTAAAAGATGCTCCATTTTAAAAGAATTTATTGACCCGGATAGTCTGAAAACCGAACGTATTAGAATAGGTGTAAAATCGCAAAATGTGTTACATTCGGTGAGTTGTCATTCAAATATTTTAAATATGTTGAATTTTCTCATGACAAATGAACCAAGTGTTTTCAGAATTTCGAAATGTTTATGTAATTACCAAAAAGTCGAAAACATTCCTCATTTACGCATTAATAAAAAAAATAT